CTGCCCAGGCGGGTCTCGAAGCCGCGGGCTCGGGCAATCCACTCACTTCAGCCTCCCAAAGGCGTGGGATTACAGGCTGAGCCACCGAGCCCAGCTTAAGCTCTTTTCACTCGATCACAGATACCCTATTTATGTACATGGGAAGCTTTGCCCTCCTCCCTGGTGTTCCATCGCAGTGCTCAAGTTTTCTGATTATGGAAGGTGGAACAGCTGTCTTCTCTGTAGTGCACACGCCGCCACTTCCCACACGCACCTCTGCCCCCCTTGTCCCTCCTGGCAGATGCCAGAGGTAGCATGGAGCTGAGGCTTACCTTTCCTGAATGTCCCTTCTCTCTCTCAGGGCTTTACTACGCAAATGTCTGCCCCACTCTGCTGTCCCTGGGCCCCGCCCTCTCCTCTTCCACACCCCTCTCCTCCTCCACCCCAGGCCTCCCTGGTTCTAACGACCCCAGACGTAATTTCCAATAGTCCATTCTGGACCCAAAGTTTTCACAGCTGGTGAACAGGCACAGGGATGATAAGCCACTCATGCTAGAATTTGGGAAAGAGAGACTCTGGGCACTGAGGGTCACCATGGCCAGACTCCACCCACCCATCCACGGTCTGTAGCCCAGAGAGAAGCTTTCAATGAATCCCACAGACCATCCCTTCCAAACCCTGTTGGAAGCCTTGGGAAGAACCAGGCCAAAAATCTGGGTCTGACAGGGAAAAGCAAACCGGAAAGCTGGAAGGGAGTCTTCATCCACCTCTTTGTCATTCTTTGACAACAGGCAACAACAGAGCCAGAGGCGAGAGGACCCTGGGGCCCCAGTGTTCATGAGAAGCCAGGAGAAGGCCTAACCAGCCTGCAGCCTCAGGTACCCAGCACACTGGGAGGGAAACCAAACAACTCTGTCTACATCTAGAGAAGGTCCAGGTTCTCAGCTGTAGTGTCTTGCTACATGCTGTTGTCTCAGGTGGACTGCAGGTTATGTGCTACAGATGACAACAGTCAACGTTTCTGAGTCTGGGAGTGGCTTATCTATCTTTCTCTTCTTTTTTAGATTTAGACATATGGGAAAACGTGTATGATAATGCCACTCTTAACACCATCATTCTGCTGTCATCTCCTGAAAGGAAAGAGGGGAGTGGACACCCAAGGCCACATTTCTCCACCTGTTTCAGATTCTGAGCCTCCTTTCCTCATGTACACTTGACAGTTCACCTTGCAAATCAGAATTCCAAAGGGTACAAGAATTCCGCTGGAGTCTAGGCTAAGAACCCCAGAACGAGGGCACAGAGCCAAGGACAAACCACTGTCCCTGCGAGTGCATGAGAATCACATGCAACGCAGCAGAAAACTAGTTGAGAACCCCAGAAAAACAGGGCAGCAAAGGTAACACAGCCAATGGGCCTTTTTCTTCTTCCCTTGAGATTCCAGAGATGCAGTTCCGAGGCCTCTCTCCCACGTACACAGACATCTGTCCTACCTGATTTCTTGAAATGCTTCCATCCACCGGATCACTGTATTCAAAGCTATCAGCCTTCTCCACAGTGTAAACTTTGTCGCTCACTGAGAACTGTCTCCCCACAAAGGAGCGATCAAACATCAGGGCCTCCAAGCCCTTCATCATCTTGTTTGCACCTTCAGCTTCTACCTCCTCGTAATCGTACCTGGAAGAAGTCACGAGGTGAGGCCCACGGGCTGATCTCAGATCATACCAAGGCATATCCATCAGCACTTCCTTCACCATTTGTTTGGGCCTCCCCCCAAAATACCTAACTTCAGAAGGAGCTGGCAAAAAACACATGGGCCCGTCAGTCACTGGGAATGGAACAGGTCAAGAATGAAAGGAAGGGTTTGGAGGATTTCAGGGAAATGTTATGAGCTTCTGAATAAGCAGAATACACCCATCTTGGCACTTCTACAGAATAAAGTGCCAGGATGCTTCAAAGGCTTTTGAGAGATGCTATCTTACACGTAAACACCATATCCTGAGGAGGAAGAAAGAAAGCAAAGTTATCTCTAGAGAACTCTATGGAGGGGGCACATGACTCAGGGCCTTCTCTCCAAAACTGCTTGAGCTTCTTTGGGGTGAGTGCTGGGATTGCTCTCAGTCTGGGACCTGCCCAAGGCTGCTGAGGTTTTGACTAAGGAGAGTTCCAGTCTTCACAGGAGCTTCCTCGGGCAAGACCAAGTTCTCCCTGACCGGATGAAGAAGCCAAGCACAGACTCTTTACATCTGAAATACCTACGCCTTTCAGCCCCAGGTGCTTTGGATTCATCCTGACAGAGGAGGTCTGGCATGGAGACAAAACAGTCAAGGAAAAAAAGTGCATCACAAATGAAATTCTATGATATTATTTTACCTTCAAGAATTCTTCTTATAACTCAGAAACAGAAAGTCAAATACTGCATGTTCTCACTTACATGTAGGAGCTAAACAATGGGTACCCGCAGGCGTACAGAGCGGAATAACAGACGTTAGGGACTATGAGGGGTGGGGGGAGGGTTGCAAAATTACCTACTGGGCACAACGATCACTATTCGGGCGGGGGGTACACTAACAGCCCAGACTTCACAATACGCAATGTATGCAAGTGAGAAATCTGCACTCGCACCCCCTAAATCTATAAAAATAAAAAATAAAAAAAGAATTCTTCTGGACTTCCTTCTTATCTCATTAAAGACTCTTACAGGTGGCTTCTCCTGACCTAGTGGCACATACCCTCTTGAGAGAGTTATTTTTCAGTGGCTCAAGATAGCAGAGTCTATATTTATTTGTAATAGTGAAACTAATACGGTACGTGCAAGGTGACACCTCTGAGACCTGAGAAATCCTGGGGAATTAAGGCCATCCTACCCTGGCTCCAAGATTCTATGAATCAAGGACCAAAGAGTTCCCTTAATCCTGAAGTCAGCTCTTCCCCCAGTTAAAACGATAAACAGCAAGAAATTACAACCAGGTGTTTGTGCTTTACAGCTGTGACCTTTGGGTGTTCCAGGGAAATGTTTGGTAAATCCTAGGCACAGAGGAGTGTAATGGAAAGAGTATGGGCTTTGCAATCGGACAGATGAGCTATGAACCAGCTTCTGCTGGTTATTAATTGTATAGCTATCGGCTAGCTGCCCATCTCTCAGAATCTCAGTTGCCTTATCAATAACTGTCTTGAGGCTGACGTCAGACAATACATACAAAAGCGCCTAGCACTTTTGTTCAATAAACGGAGGGTACAATGGAATTGTACTAATTATAAATGCAGGTTCTTAGGACTTTATTTTTAATGCTTGGTTAACAGTTATATTTGATAATTAATAAAAATATGTTCAAATAGTTTTTACATGGAGACTTTTTACTAATTCAAGAGTGATCCCTCCTCTAAACAACCCCTCCTAATCTTAATCTTATGCTACTCTGGCTACTGTTCATCTGGTAACTCATTCAACTATCTCTTCAAAACATTTTATTTTTTTAAGTCAGGGCCTCACTCTGTCCAACTGGAGTGCACTGGCATGATCACGGCTCACTGCAGCCTTGAACTCCTGGGCTCAAATGATCCTTCTGCCTCAGCTTCCTGAGTAGCTAGGACTACAGATGTGTGCCACCAGACCCAGCTATTTGTTTTTTAATTTTTTTTCTTTTGTAGAGATGAGGTTTTGCTATATTGCTGAGGCTGGTCTTGAACTCCTGAGTTCAAGCAATCCTCCTGCCTTGGCCTCCCAAAGTGTTGGGATTACAGGCGTGAACTACCATGCCCAACCCAAAACATATTGATGCAGTCTCTACCATGAGTTAGGTGTTCGGGGCACAAAAACAAGCATGGTCCTGTATTTATGATACTCTAGAGAGTTCATGACTGTTCTGAATTACCAGGTTTTTCTGTCTGTTAGAGAGTAGAGATTCTTGCCTTGGTTCCCAGGGCTATTGTGTGGTACCAGGTGGCAGTTAATGCTTATGCCTTCTAAAAAAGAATAACTTGAGAGATGAAGAGATCAATGAACTTGCTCAAAGTTAACTAAAGAATTCTGGTTAAGGAGCTCAAGTTGCTTAATGCTGAATTCTTTCTTGACTGTGCAGAGATCATGGACTATAAAACCTGAAATATATTTTTTAAATTATTTAGGTGAACTCACCTATTTTTTTAGAAAAGGCAACTGAGGTCCAGAGAAATTCCACCCATTCATTTTTCACAGATAAACACGTTTCTAGTATCTTTTTAATCCTGTTTCCTTTCCATAATTGGAATACTGAGGTCCAAGAAAAACCTTGTTCGATTTTTACACTTAATGGGGGAAAGGCAGATTGGAATTAGTGGAAAACATTACTGTCAAAGAAGTTGTTAATGCTTTTTAAAAATAGAAACATGCATGGTAAGGAAGAAGAATGAGAAAGCGTTTATGTATTCTGTTCACTGCTGCATTCCCAGGATCTGATAAAAAGTAGGTACACAGTACATATTTGTTGCATCAATAATGAAGGGTTGGCAAGTACATAGCCTTTGGGAACCTATTTTAACGAATCAGAAAACTTGATCTGGACTAAGCACACTTGTTTCATAATTTAAGAGAAAAAGTTTCTCATTTCCTTTAGCAACCCAGAGTTTACAAAACATGTTCAGACTTACATTTCATTTAATCCTTTCAAAAACTGGGCTGTTATTCCCATTTCTGCAGATGAGAAAACTCAATACAGAGAGAGATTAAAACCTCAGCCTTGTAAGGGGAAGAAATAATATTTGAATTCACTCTTCTGAAGTCTAAATTCAATGTCACAATCACGTCCACCAAATGAGTACATTCAAAAATGCTTATAAAGCATTTACTAGTTATGTTAGCTAAAAATGTCAAGCCTCCTTCTCTATAGCTGACATAAAAGTTGACTTCATTTCTACTCTGACCGAATTATTTTAAAAATCTCCAATTGGCAGAAGCTGGATGAACGAGGGTATTATTCTCCCTGAACATGGTGAGGCTGTAGGTGCGTGAGAACTGTCTTTGCCCACTTCCCAACCCTACCTCGCACCCCAGCCAGGCCGTGGCTCACCTGGTGAAGAAATTCCGGCCGTATTTTTGCCAGTGATCTCTGAGAATGTCCTCCACACTCTGCTTGCGAGTGGCCAGGATGGAGAGCCAGGCGAGGACAGCCCACAGGCCATCCTTCTCACGGATGTGGTCAGAACCTGAGGGGAAGCGCACGCTGCTGTGAGACGTGATCTCCCCAAACAATTCAGAAGACACTCAGCAGTGAGCAAACAGACCCTCCTAAAACGTCAGACAACCCAGGTGAGCGCTAGAACTCACATACTGGATAAAGCCACATGATATTGAAAAGACGTTGCAGTTTCCCAAAGTAATTCAGACATTTAAGGCAAATGCCAATAAAAACGTCAGAGAGACAATTAGGCGGAACTTGATATATCAATAAATAAAGTAGTAATGTAAGGAAAAAACAAAATATGTTTTCAATAAACCAACAGCATAAGAACATGACCATTATAAAATTTCAATAATTAAAATAGTCTGATAGTTTAATGGAACAAAAGAAAGCACGCAAAAATAGACCCAAGCACATATAAGGCTTAAGTATGTGATAAAGATGTCACTTCAAGGCTGTGGAAAATAATAAATTACTTTTTTTTCTGAGTCAAGGTCTCACTCTGTTGCCCACTCTGAAGTGTGCAGCCTAACCTCCTGGGTTATGGCGATCCTTCTGCCTCAGCCTCTCAAGTAGCTGGGACTACACCACATGCCACCACGCCCAGCTAACTGTTGCGATTTTTTTGTAGGGTCTCCCTACATAGCCCAGGCTGATCTTGAGCTTCTGGGCTCAAGCAATTCCCCCACCTTGGCCTCCCAAAGTGCTGTGATTACAGGCATGGGCCACCATGCCAGGCTAGTTTACTTTTTATGTGGTGTTTGGAGAACTGGTTAAACAGTCACAAAGGAAAAAAATTTGTTGTATTCTCTTATAAAACACCATAACACAAAGAATTCCCATTACATTAAAAATTCAAATGTGAAAATTGAAAATTTTAAAATGCTAGAAGACATATATTTTTAATATATATTTATGTATACACATAAATTTCAGAGGCGATGAATACATATGAATTCAGTATTCATAAAGAAAATTGTCTACTTAAGTACTTAAGTATCTGTCTACTTAAACATTAGCATTTCTTTTTTTTTTTTTTGAGTTGGAGTCTCACTATGTCACCCAGACTGGAGTGCAGTGGCCGCTCCCGGCCACCGCAGCCTCGACCTGCTGGGCTCCGGTGATCCTTCTGTCTCAGCCTTCCAAGTAGCCGGAATTACAGGCAAACGCTACCACGCCCAGCTAATTTTTTTGATTTATTGCAGAGATGAGGTCTCGCCAAGTTGCCCAGGTGGGTCTCAAACCCACGGGCTCAGGCAATCCACTCACCTCAGCCTCCCAAGGCACGGGATTACAGGCTGAGCCACTGAGCCTGGCTAACATTAGCATTTCTATACAGCAAAACTACTATAGATAAAATTAAAAGCCCATGGACAAATTTTAAAAAATAAACACATTTACAACTATTAGGTAGATGTTTAATACATTAAATACAGGAAAAATTCTTACATATTAATAAGAAAGAAGCAAAACCACAATAGAAAAATAGGCCAAGGAAATAAATAGGTAATGTACCAAAAAAAATTACAGGTCAACAATTACCATAATAAGAAGCTGGCATTATTTTTAAGAAGAGAAATTCAAGCTAAAACCACAGTGAGAAACTACTATTTGCTTGACAAATGGTCACAGATTTAAAAATTAGAATACCCAGCATCAGGGGAGGTATAACAGAAATGAGATTCCAACATGGTGCTGGTGGGAGTGTACACTGGTACAATCCTTCTGGAAAGCAATTTGGCAAAAAGCATCAAAGCCTTAAAAACGGACCAATGAGTAGATCCAGCAACTACAGTTCTAAGATATTGTTCTTTAACCGATAAGGACTGGTTAAATAAACTAAGATGCACCTGTCTCCTGTGAAGATCCTTACTTAACTCTTTACCAAAATTTAAAACTGTGCTCCTTTGTATGGATTTATATGCATGAAAACCCTTTTCCAAGGGCCTGATGTGGAACAGAATTCTCATTTTTTTTGCCTTTAAACTCCTTATTCTGAAAAAAATAAAGTAGATTATATTGAGCTCTATTTTCTGACTTCTTTTTTTTTTGAGTCAGAGTCTCACTCCATCGCCCAGGTTGGAGGGCAGCAGCATGCTCACAGCCACCCAGGTGCTGACCTGCTGGGCTCCGGCAATCCTTCCACCTCAGCCTTCCAAGTAGCCAGAACTATAGGTGTGTGCTACCATGCCCAGCTAATTTTTTTATTTATTGTAGAGACGAGATCTTGCCAAGTTGCCAGGGCTGGTCTCGAACCCGCAGGCTCAGGCAATCCACTCAACTCAGCCACCCAAAGTGCTGAGATTATAGGCTGAGCCACTGAGCCCGGCCTATTTTCTGACTTCTGAATAGGACCCTGTACTATCCTTCTACAGTCATGCTTTGCATGTTTTCATATCCTGAGTTATGTGCCCATCTGGCCTATTCCCATTGAGTCTTATTCTTCTTGGAATGTCAGAGTATCTAGCATAATGCTGGTTATGTAGAAGGCATGTGGTAAGTGATTTTTTTCCCTAATACTCGCGTCCTTTCATACCCAGCTCAAATGTCCTCTCCTCTTTGAGACTAGCTCCAAGCTTCCCCAGGCAGTTACAAGCTCCTTTCTCTCTCTTCTCCTATAGCAACCTGTACAAAACATCTGGGGTGGTGCTATCCTTCCTGAACCTCAATATTCTGTTTATAGGTTTTTCTCCCTATGAACCATGTGCTTCTTGGAGGAATTTCTTAATTATCCTAATAACTGACTAGCATAGCACAAGGAATATGGTAAATAACCAATTGTGAAACAGTACATGAAGGAATGAGTCAATTAATCTACTCCAACATTTTCTCTATCTTTTGGTTCACAAAAACATACAATTTTGGCCAGGCTCGGTGGTTCAGTCTGTCATCCAAGCACTTTGGGAGGCCAAGATGAATGTATTGCCTGAGCCTGCAGATTTGAGACCAGCCTGGACAATTTGGTGAGACCTTGTCTCTACAATAAAAATCAGAAAATTAGCTGGGCATGGTAGTGTGCCTGTAGTTCTGGCTACTTGGAAGGTTAAGGCAGAAACATCACTGGAGCCCAGCAGGTCGATGCTGGGGTTGCCGTGAGTGTGCCACCGCATTCCAGCCTGGGCAATGGAGTGAGACTCCAACTCAAATAAAAACAAACAAACCAAAAAACATACAATTTTTTTTCTTTCAAAAGATTTTTCTCTTCAATGGGATACTACTTTTAGAAGTGACAGTCCTTAGAACCTAGATGCTGGCAAAATTAGAGATGGTAGGCTGCATTTTTAGTGCTTTACGGAACACATCTTAGAAATGTTTACCTAATTCTATTATCGATAGACTTTTATTTGCCCTTACTACTATTTTAAGGAACAAAAAGTTAGCTCTTTGCCTCTTATGGCTTTTGCAAATGATATGGTCTGGCAACAGTTCACCCTGAGAAGCAAGATTTTGGCAGCTTCCCCATATATTGGAATTCATGACAGCAGTACTCAGCATGGGATTCCTTGCCTATGCTCCACTGGGCTTTCTTTTTCTTAATTTTTTTTCCTTCTTGGCTAGACTAGAAGCATAGGAGCCGGCGTTTCTTTGTGCTTTTCCTGCTCTGAGTGAGACATTTGGTTTTCTCTTTTATGTGGAAATGAAAATAAGATCTAAAAGTCTTATCCAACTCTGACCAGGTTACTTGGAGATAAGAAAAGCATACACCTAATATTACAAACAAAATATCTGCCCTGGGTAACATCAACAGATATCGGATTCCAACAGCAGGATCCTCAGTCTGTTTGGCTATTCTGATTAATCTCACTAATCACTTTGGATGTTTCAAAACTCGAGTAATTCAATTAATACTCAGCAAGGCTGGGTAAAATTCATTTTCATCAGTTGTTCTGATGAATCACAGCACATTTCCAGTGAAAAAGGACAATGGTGCGTGTACGTGTTTCTGAAGACATTATTTTTGCAGTTGGGACTCAGTAGATAATGCTTGATACTTAAGAGTCAGATAAACTGAATTTGAGTCTCTGTTACTTATCAGCTGTTTGAATTTGGACAAGTCCTTTCATTTTTCTGAGCCTCAGTTCCTGTGAGGGCCAAATGGGGAGAATGCTTCTCTCTCCCACACAATTGTGAGAAATGACTGTGAAAAAGCTAGAGAACATATTATAAACTGTTAAGCACTATGTAAATACAAGATACCATTTGGAATAAAGGGAGAAATAAAAAGCCTTTATGGGACATTATTATGTTTTCCACTGACCTTATTCAGCTTTCAAAAATAGCGATCCTTAACTGTATATACTGGGAAAGAAAATGGAAGACTATAACCCAGTATGTTCTGTCAACTGTGCATGGGGATGACAGTGTTTTCCTCCTTCCTGGTTTTCCCACAATGAACAAAAATTACTCATATCAATATGTTTTAATTCTTGCAAAGTAAAAGCAGCCACGCTCACTTAACTGCGAGAAAGGCCGGCCGGTCCTCGCTGACACAAGGGTGGGGCTGGGCCTTGCACCGGGTCTCTTCCCACTTGCTCTGCTCAGGGACCAACCGAGAGCCCAGGAATTCTGCCCTTTCAGCGTCTTCAAACACCTGTCACTCTACTTTGGCCTAATCAGCACCTTGTGATAAGCACCGACTCCGCTCAGTCAGAGCACAGTCTGGGTCTCAGCCAAGAAAAATGTCAACCCTTGCTGAGGAAGCCAAGAGCTAACGGTTTAGGGCTTGGGTTACGGCTACCAGTATGTACATCCTAGGAGCTGGTGTGGTTTCTGTCCCTGCCTGGTGACAGCCCTGAGGACGGGGACATGGCAGCTGGAGTCCTCTGAAAGTACCAGTGTCTGTCGTCTGCCTCTGTCTTCCTCTGTCCACTTTTCTCTCTGCTGCAGCCCCTGAAATACTGCTCTCTCTGCCTGAAAACTCCTGCCCCACATCTACCTATCAGCCTGGCTGACATCTCCTGCAGTTACTTTCAACTTCACCCTTGTCCAAGATGGCTTCCTCGCCCCCTCTGTCCTTCTATGTTC